GTTCTAAATCCCTTGGGCCTAATGCATAGTAAGTGGTCAATAAATAGGTGGTGAATGGATTTGTCCACCCTGCCACCTCCTGGGGTACCCACACAATCAGATAGGAGGAAGGGAATTATGGGAACAGAAGGGGAAAGGAAGTAGTGTTTGCAGAGCCCCCATGGGATGGCGCAAGTATCTTTTCTTCCATTTGTCTATCTCACCAGCCCTACGAGGCCAATGTTCTCACCTCATATTGCAGATGAGGACTGAAGATCAGAGAGGTTGTGTCAACTCACCTGAGGTCCCACAGCTAATAAGAGACAGAGCTAAAATCTGAACCTTGGTCTATCTGATTCCAAGGTCCACACTCTTCCTGCTTGCTGTACCACTGTGTGTATGAATCAGGCCTTCCTGGGAAAAACTCTAGGGTTTTTTTAGGCCAAAATTTCAAACCCTTTGCTCTAAAGTTATTCCTTATCTCAAATGCCCATGTCTTTCCTTTGCCCGATTGAAAAAAACCCTTTTGTCTTGGTCCATTCTAAGATAACAGAACATCTTTTGAATGACTCTTGGAGCCGTGGGTATTCTACACTCCAAGGGAAGCATAAAAATCCCACATGCTCTGGTTGGAGTGAGGATATCCTGACCAATGAGCTTCTAGCCCAATTCCAGCTGTGGCGGGTACCATGACAAAAAGGGTAGGAGAGAGAACCTCTTACTGGCTGAGGTCTTAGGACTAAAGCTCTCTCCCACCCCTCCTTGCACAAATGCCTTCCGCTGCATCATTAGGTGTCAGAAGTGATGGACTGTCCTTGGTAGGCAGCGTTTACACACTTCATGGAAAGTAGCAAGTGGAAGGCTAAGGGCAACTGCCCATGTTAGAGTCCAGGATTCTGTTTTTCTGCCTTCCCAGCCAAGCACAGATCATCGGGAGATGGTTGTTGTGGAAAAGAGCCTGTCCTGGGGTTCCCAGGCTCCCAGTCCTTGTGGGTAGCCCACCAGTGCTGACCACTGCATCCAGAGGCCTCCACCCAGAAATCACATCCTACCAGTCTCCTGAAGCAACCACAAGTTCAGCTCTTTAGCCTAAAGTTCAGTCATTCTCGCCAATTAGGTCACTCAAATCCTGGTCTTCAGTTCCACCCTTAACCTGCTTTTCCAGGGTCATCTCCACCAATTCCTGAGAGGGACTCAGGCTGCAGCAGAATGGACGCTTCCCCCAGCACACTGGAACCTCCTCGTCCTCACTCAGAAGGATCCATCTACCTCTATAATTCCGACTTGTCCGTTTAAAAAATTATCTATATACCACAACAGCTGAAAAAACATACCTGGATTATGTGGAATGCTCTTTAAATACAAATCTAAGTGATGAATCAAATTGAAGGTCCTGTCACGGCTCCCCTGGAAGTGTCTCCAAAGAGACTCAGAGAAGACAGCACTGCTTTGTTCTCTGACCACACCTGAGTGAAGACACACACCCTCGCACCTCACTCTTTGGGCTTTAGGAGGAAAGGAGAAAGACTACTGAGAAAGATAGAACTTTCTCGGGAAGCCTGAACTTGCAGTAACATCACCACCATAATTTAAATTTTACTTTTTAAATGTTTGAAAGACTTCATATGGCCTCCTCTCCTCCTGGAGTCTGGGTTCTAGCAGACTCACCAGGAGGACCTGCCCAGCACCGGTTCAAGGATCATCTTCAGGGGCCCCTGCTCGAGGGCACTTTGTACCACTCTCCTGATACCCTGTGCCCAGGTATGTGTAAAGCACCTGCACACCATAGGTCTTCAGCAGCTCTGTGCTGTGACACAAGTGCACAGGGCTCAGAGGTGTCTACTGCATGACAAAGGAACTCCAGTTGCTGTAGTCTGGAGCCTTCCTTCCAACGACTTGGCCAGTCCTGGGTGGCCACCTCCCCATAACATCTCAGCACACGTCTGCCGCAGCTCCTGGCCCTTTCTCCTCTTAGCTCAGTTTTAGCTCATCACAAAAGGTAGGTCCCAGACCCAGGCATGATGGACTTCCCTCCCTGCTCCCCCCAGACCATGCCTTCATTTGAGGGGAATGCAAGCCCCCTCTTCTAGAGTCTTTCCTGACCATGCACAGCCCAGGGCTCCTCACCCAGCTGCCTCACTCAGGCCGACTCTGCTAACTGACCATCTACCACATCTGAGGAAGCTTACATGTATTGTCTTTAACCTCCCAACAAGCTTCTGAGGTAGATGGACATTATTATCCCCATTTCACAGATGAGGAAATAGAGGCTCAGAGAAGTAAGTGGCAGAGCTGAGACTAGCCTATGTCTGCTGGCTCCAAAGCCTCTGCTTTTTTTCAAACCATCACATGGTACCACCCACTTACTAGATATAACTTTCTCTGTGTGTGTGCATTTGTGGAATATACATTTATTGGGTTCCTACTGTGTGTAAGATACCATGTCTTCTTTCTCCAACTGGATTTAGAAAGCTTTTCCTTTTCTTAGATCCCTCTTAATGATGGGTACAGAAATCCTAAAGGAATCTACCATCTACAAATAAATGTTGGGGGGGGGTCTCTTTATCACTTCAATTCCCCCATCCCTGCTGACCTTGTGTCTGACCTTGTGTCTGGTCCCCTCCCTCTAGCATCAGCATTCTCTGGCTGATGCTCAACTGGTTCTGTGCTATAGGCCTGTATGGGGCACTGGAGGCAAATTCTGGGTTTGGCCTTGGACCCTCTCCAGCCTCATCTCCCGGCATTCCTCTGTACGGTCTGACCCTTCAGGACAGCCACACAGAGGAAGCACACAACCTTCAGCTCATGTAAATTCACCTCCATGTGTGCACCCAGCCAAAGGGGGAGAAGGAGAGCAAGAACAAATTAAATAATGCATGTTGTTCCACTTGACCTTGGGCCGTGGGAAGGATTAAATGAGTGAATGTACCTAAAGCACTTAGGACAGTGCCCAGGGCTCCAGATTGTGTGCGAGATCCCTTCTGTTGTGCTTCCAGGCCCACTCTCCAGCCTTCGGTGCCGCCCCGCCCTGTGTCCCAGGAAGCTTTGCCTGAGCTCCCTGCCCTCTGCTTCCTGCTGTGTTCAGCCAGCGGGTGGTGAGAGGGCGTGAGGAGAAAGAGAATGGGCTCTGACTCCCAGGTCCCACCGTGCTGGATCCCCTGTAGGCAGGTTCCCCCACCTGAGGCTGCAGCGCCTGCCTGGGCCTCTCTCTGCAGCCATGGCTCTCCCCTGGTCTGGGGACGCTCCCTCCTCTCGCCTTCAGGGACACCGGGCTTCCAGCAGCTGCTCCTCCCAGGCTGTGTTAACAAGCCTTAGTTAGGGCTTCACTTTTACCTGCCCTTCCCCCTATGGAATCTCTTCATAAAACTCTCTTCCTTTTCCGGTTTGGATGAGCCAGCTGCTTCCTGCCGTGATGCTGGCCGGTTTAAAATGTTAGCTATTAGCGGTGGAGGTGCCAGCAGCATTTCCCCTCTGTGACCTCTTCCCCCACCTTTAAGACGCCTCAATTCGGACGTCAGCTCTCCTTGGTCAAGCCTTTCCTCAGGCTCCGCCACACAGCCTGTCCTGTCATTCCCTGTGCATGTGACAACATGCTGTTCCCACCGTTACCGCGGGACTCGCCAAGCTGGGTTGTACTATCTTTACCTGCCTGTCTCCCCACTAATCTGCATGTGGCCCAGGCACAGGCCTGGGGGCAGCATAGTGATGAAGCCAACAAGCCCCTTCCCCGTCTGGGTCTACCCCCATCTCTGTGCTTCTGTTCCCTCATCTGTAAAATGGGGATAAAAGGATCTGTTTCATACCATTTCATCCTTTTATAAGGAAATCAATAATTTTTTTAGTATTCATAAATGATTGTTAAATGCTTAAGACAGTGCCTGGCAGAAGGTAAGTTCTCAGTGTTTGTTAAATGAAACTAAGCAAGAATAAATGATACAAAATCTATCTTCTCAGTAGCTGAGAGAGAGTGGGCCCTTCATAAACGTTGGTGGGATGAATGGATGCAGCCGCACTCTTCCGAGACCTTCACAGCTTGCATCCCAGATAGTACTGGGTTGACTTGACTCTTACTTTACTGTCTAAACTTCATCTTTCCAAGAGACTCTGGTTGACAGCATTTGACCCAGCGCGTGGCACAGCTGACCATGCCCCCTTCTCCTGACTTTCCTGCCTCACGTGCCATTCCTTTTCCTCTAAAGGTTAGAGGGTGCCCTGGATTCTGTCCTGGATCTTCTATCTGCACTGTCTCTCTAAGTCAGCGGTTCTCAACCTTCCTAACGCCGCGACCCCTTAATACAGTTCCTCATGTTGTGGTGACCCCCAACCATAAAATTATTTTCGTTGCTACTCTNATCAAAATCCATCTTACCCTTCAAACCCCAGCTCAAGGCTTCTTGGTCCTTCCCTCCACAGTTAGATTGAAAACCCCTTTCTTCACACCCTGCTTTTACTTCTCTTTAGCAGTTATTTTACTGTAACTTATATGAGAATTCCTTGTGTTTGCATTGTCTAGCTCCCCTCACCAGGCCACGAGTAAATTGAGGAAAGAAAGTAGATCTTATTCATTTCCAGACTCTGCACGGGACCCAGCAAGTGGCAGAGCTTATAAATGTATGCTGAATAAATAAAAAAGCAGGTGGGTGATAAGAGACATCTGATGCTGGGGCCAGCTGGCATTTCCTGTCCTGTCCCAGCAGTTATACTCTATTGAACCTACCTGGCTACTTGATAGCCTCCCCCATCAGATTGTGAGCAACCTGAGGGCAGTAATCAGTCTGTCGTGCTCACACGTGTGCCCCGAGCCCAGAGCCATGCACAGAGTGTCTGTGTAAATATTTGCTGGGACAAGTGAATGGTGTGTCCATTTGGTTCCCAGCAGCCTTGAGTGTCTGCCTTCCCTCCGACCCCATCTCCCCAGGATGTGATGGGGAGGTCCTTCTGTCTCAGAGCAACCCACACCAGGGCTCCCTGCAGACAGAGGCAGCCGGGTGGTCCACGGGAGCTGGACCCAGTGCACTTACTGGTGGTACATCCGCAGCACGTCATAGAGATAGTCCTTCTCTGCATCATTTTCAATCAGGAAATCCACCTGGAAAAACCCAAGGGCAGAATTATAACTCCAGGCCCAGCATCCTGATAGCAGACCCCAGGGAGGGGGAGGCGACGGCTGGGGACCTCCTCAGCATCTCCTCAGTGCTGGAGTTGTGAGGACAGGAGGGAAGCCAGAGGCCAACACATCGGACCAGTGCAGACCACCCCAATGTGACTACAGGGGTACCTCAGCACATCCAGATGTGGCAGGTCGCACCTTGTCCCAGGCAGGTGCACACACATATGCACACATGTGACAGCAATATGCCCCTTGGCAGCAGTGCTGCCACTCACCCCCATGGCCGTGTCACCCGTGCAGCAACAGTATAGGCTTCCCGATATGGAGGGAGCCTATTCTATTTTTTTTTTTTTTTTACCTGATAGCGGCTGTAATGCCGGATAACTGCTTTCAGAAAAGATTTGGGCCACTCGCTCAGATAGCACATTCCACCCGTTGGAAGCACCCCACCACAGAGTTCTTCTGTGTCACCAGTGCCAGGGGCACCTCCTCCCTGTTCCCTCTTGGCCTCAGCTGGGTTCTGGCCCCTGGCTTCTGGCCACGCCTTCCCCCCTCTAGGTGCCTGCACAGACCCCCCCCACACACACACACACCCAAGGGCAAGAGTCAGGTTACATTAGTTCTTCTTTGCTGACGTCAATGTCTGGGTCTCCAAGGTCAGGGTCAGGAACTTTTTCACTGGCACCTCAGCCCCAGGGGAGCTGGTAGGCCACTAGCCTCAAATTCCACTCCACAGGGCAGGTCAGCGTGAATCTCTACGCACTGTATCCTTGGTTCTCTCTTCAGTCTGAGACTGAGTAAGGGAACAAAGTGGAGGCTCGAGGGAATCACTGCGTCCCTTCCTCCTGCAGCCTCCAGGCCCAAGAGCATCATCCAGGGCCTCAGCCGTCCCCACAGGGAGAAGCTGCTGCTGGAAGCCACAGGAGGGCCAAAGCAGCTTTGCCTCTTTCGATGAGTGTCTCAGGGGTTCTGGAAGACTGGGGCAGTCTGTCCCAATACACTAGGCCCAGTCCTGGGGATTTCTGGTCTGAGCAGGGGCACAGAGTACAGATTGCTGGTCTTCACCTGACAGTATCTGCTTCTCTCTAAAGTCAGGCTGAGCATTTCAATGAAGGTGAGAATAACTTAGGAGGCTTGCCCTCCACCGGCTCACAGCGAGGCTGTGGCTGCTACAGAAGTTCACCCCACTTGCTCAATGAGGGCACTCCTGCTATCTCCTATGCCACTGCCCCTCTCCTCCAGGCCAGGTGCTCCCAGCCAGCTGGAAGATGGGGTAGGGTGGGGGTGGGGGGTAGAAGCATCTGCTTGAGTGAGTGACCGTACTACATCTTAGGGTGGTATCCCAGGCTCCTGCATGCCCTGCATAAGAGGGCACCTCCCAAAGCCCATCTCTGTAAGGACACAGCCTGGGCTCTCCCTCCTCGCTCTGCCTGGGCCCATATGAGAGGGGTGGGGGACCTCCTGAGATAGGCCCGGGCTACCCACATTTCGCTGTGTTACAGGAGTCTGAGCAGAGAAAAATTCTGAACTCCTCTAGGGTCAGGGGCCAGAATTATCTTTATAAATTAGATTATATCACTGTTTGCTTCATAGCTTCTTCATTGTGCTAAAAATCAAATCCAAATTCCTTATTTTGACTTATCAAAGCCCAGCTTTGTCTCCTGCTACTCTTCCTGGCTGCATGGGCCTCCAAGCCGTGCCTCCCACAGGCCACACTAGCTTCAGCCTCAGGACCTTGGCATGTGCTCTTCCCCCAGCCTGGCATGCTCCCCACTTCCCTGCATGGCTGGCTTCCTTCTTAGGGAGGTCTTCCTGCTCCCCTACCCAAACAGAACTCACTCTACCCCCAACCCCCACTCCAAGATGTTCCAATTCATTCATTGCAGCAGTCACAATTTGTTATTTAAAGTCTTGCTTTTTGTGTGAATTGGTTTGTTTCCTTCATCAGACAGAAAACCCCGTGAGGGGAAGGATGAGGTGTATTTGTTCTAAATCCCTTGGGCCTAATGCATAGTAAGTGGTCAATAAATAGGTGGTGAATGGATTTGTCCACCCTGCCACCTCCTGGGGTACCCACACAATCAGATAGGAGGAAGGGAATTATGGGAACAGAAGGGGAAAGGAAGTAGTGTTTGCAGAGCCCCCATGGGATGGCGCAAGTATCTTTTCTTCCATTTGTCTATCTCACCAGCCCTACGAGGCCAATGTTCTCACCTCATATTGCAGATGAGGACTGAAGATCAGAGAGGTTGTGTCAACTCACCTGAGGTCCCACAGCTAATAAGAGACAGAGCTAAAATCTGAACCTTGATCTATCTGATTCCAAGGTCCACACTCTTCCTGCTTGCTGTACCACTGTGTGTATGAATCAGGCCTTCCTGGGAAAAACTCTAGGGTTTTTTTAGGCCAAAATTTCAAACCCTTTGCTCTAAAGTTATTCCTTATCTCAAATGCCCATGTCTTTCCTTTGCCCGATTGAAAAAAACCCTTTTGTCTTGGTCCATTCTAAGATAACAGAACATCTTTTGAATGACTCTTGGAGCCGTGGGTATTCTACACTCCAAGGGAAGCATAAAAATCCCACATGCTCTGGTTGGAGTGAGGATATCCTGACCAATGAGCTTCTAGCCCAATTCCAGCTGTGGCG